ATGGCTAGAACTTGCTTAGGTCACATAGGAGGCAGCTGCCACAATACCCTTACTTAGCCCTTTGCGTCCTGCATCCTTAAAAGTAGCTCATTTTTCATCTTAAACTAAGGATAAGGAAGAAATAATATTTATTCCTGCTTTCTTTCAGTCTGATTATTCTATCCTTTCCCTTTAAAATACCATATAGAATTGTCATTAAAATTTAGTTGTTCATTTACCAGGTTTTACACATAAGAATAAAGTTAAAGCAATTTTCAGTTTTTGACAGGGTACTCATACGTGAGTTATAGTATGATATTTCACTACATAAACAGTATGCAGTGATCTGAGCAGAATAACTGGTACATTCACCTCAAATACATATTTTGTATTGGGAGTAGTTAAAAGTCTCCTCTAATTATTTTGAAGTATACAACTAAGGCTCAGCAATGCTGTCCTGCTATTTTGTACAAGATTAGCTGTTTATTCTTCCTAACCAGCTGCACTCCTGTGTCTGTCAACCATAACCAACTTTTTTGTAGAGAAATTTAGTCTAGGAAAGCAAATACTTCTGCACTCATTATCCTTTTAGTATATGAAGCGCAAGCACTCAGTATCCCTTGAAATACAGTTTTCTTAGTAAATTTTCATAATATAGCATAGGGAACATTATGTTAGAAAAATCACTTTTAGTTGAAGTCTAATAATATCTTGTGACATGACTTCTAACCTTCAGGCTGTTCCTGTAGTACTGTGTTCTGTCACAAAGAAATGTTATACTTGTGCTGGTACCATATTCTGTGTTCCTCAGCTCATATAAATCAGTTATTATGGTCAATATTTTTTCTGCTTGCAAGATTTACTTTGGTCACCTTTAATTTGGCAGTTAACTTTTGTCTCAGTTACTTTTCACTCGTTACTGGGACAACATACCTGACATCCAAATTTAAGGAAGGACAGGTTTATGTAGCTCACAGTTTGTGGAGGTTTCAGTCTGTACTCAGCTGGCTCCCAGCCAGAATGGCACATGGCAGAGAGCAGCAGTTCATGGCAGCAGAAAACAGGGAGGAGCAAAGAAAAGGGCAGGAGCTGTGGCTTCTAGCCAGCCCCTCTCCCCTTCTTATATTATAAACAAGCTACCCTGGGGCTGGAGGTGTAGCACTCCCACAGAGTCCATGCCTTCCTCTTGCACAGATGAGGATGTTTACAAACTAAGAATCCTGGCTCTCTGCTGAGTCGCAGTATATCAGCTCCCAAAAAACACAGGAAATAAAACAAAAGTAAAGGTAATGTAAAATGATATATATGTTTTACCTAATGAAATTTCATTTGAAACAGCTTTTTGTTAGGAAAGATTCATACTTTGTACTTTATTTCAATATAGGAAGGTTTTTTTTTTACTCTTACAATCTCAAACCATAACTTACTGTTATAAACCATGCTCAAAAGTCCTCTTCTAAAAGTGTAATACTTTAATCTTCCTAATCTATAACATTTACCTAGTTAGCCTGTATAATTCTTACTTTATCATGCTTTTACTTTTGCCTTGAAATTTGTTTTTGTGGTGTTTTTTTTTTTTTTTTTTTTTTTTGTGGAACCGGGGATTGAACTCAGGCCCTTGTGCTTGCCAGGCAAGCACTTATTCTACTGAGCTAACTCCCTGGCCCTTTTGCCTTGAAATTTAACTTACATTTTTAAAAAGTTTTTTTTATTCTTGTTAATGTTAACAGGTGCTTTTGATTTATTAATGTTAATGTACTTCAGAATCTCTGAATTTTTCAAATATATTTTTATAGACACAGTTTTCTGAGTGTTTTATGTCTTTTGCATTTTTAAATACTAGAAATCTTATCTATTATTCAATACATGTTCATTGAAAACAGCACGGTTGCCTGGTATAGTAGTGCACAAAACACCTGTTACCCCAGCACTTGGGAGGCTGAGGCAAGAGGGTTGTTGGGAGTTCCAGGCCAGCCTAGGCTGTGCATAGTGAGTTCAAGGCCAGACTGAACTGCATAGGAGACCTTGTCTCTAGAAAAACCAAAAAAACTAAACAAAAACCAACATGGTTACCAGATAGGACTTTCGAACATGAAATCATACAGGGTTCTGATATTCTGATCATTAAAAACTTATTTCTCAAAGTGTTTTTGTTGTCCCCAAACTTCAGGATACTAGGTGTGGTGTGTTCATTATTTTTTTGCTCTAGGTTATAAATTATTTTTATATTCATTATGATATTAGAAACAGCTTAGGTTTGTAAAATAAATTTCTTTAGACCATGTGATAGTGTGTTATATAGAAAGTATCAACTTTTATCATAAAATATAAAAGAATATTTGTTATCTCTTTGTAAGTAGCACTGTGATAGGGACTGCCAGCTTTCACATCTCAGGAGTACATATTGTCTCTTCATATGTCTTGATTTGAATTTGCTATTGTTCATGGTCAGCATTTATCAACATATGCTGTGTAAGCTCTTAGTCCCCAAGACCATCTCAGATATCTAGAAGGCAAAAACTTAACTTCCCAGAGTATATCTTTCCTGGGTTGCAGAGAATGACAAAATAAGAAATGCATCTACGTACTTCTGCTGTGTCTAGAAATATACCACATCTGGAGAAGTACCAATACTTTTTTTTTTTTTTTTTTGAGAAGTAAAGTAGCCTTGTATTTTCCCCCAATGAAATACCATTTTTACTGCAGAGTACTGCCATCAGACTATGGTTATCAAACTTGTATATTTGGTAAACATTCACAGAAACGATTGTGAGCCTGCTTATTAAAGTTTTTGGGTCAAGGTCTCTGTAGTTCAGAATGGTGTTGAGTTCACTTTGTAGTGGAAGCTGGATTTGAGCTTGCAGTGATCCTCCAGCCTCACAGAGTGCACTTTAATTGAAAGTATTTGTTGCTGGAGATAAAATTAAACTTCAAGCTCAATGTGGTGGTGTTTATCTGTTATCCTACTCCTTGGGAGGCTGAGGCAGATCAATCACTGTGAGTTGAAGGTCAGTCTCCAAAACAGAACAACAAATTTAGGATTTGATAGGCCAATCAAAAATTAGTCTGAGACAGGAGGAGGGCAAGTTTGAAACTAGCCTGGTAACTTAGTGACATCCTGTCTCAAAATATCTTAGAATTATGGGAGGCTGAGGTAGGAAGATTGAAAGGTTGCCTAGCCTGAACAGCTTGGTGGTTAGGCAAGACCTTGTCTCAAATTTTAAAAAGTTTTGAAAGGTCTAGGGATATACTCAGTTCAAATCCAGGATAAACCCTAGATTTAATTCTCACTGTCTCAAAAATAAATAGTAAAAAGAGTATTTAGTCCATGCCTTACCTGTGTAAAGCCCTGGATTCAATCCCAAGGGCCACAACTTTCTGGTTTTTGGTTTTGGTTTTGACTTTGAATTCACTATACAGTTCAGGCTGGCATTGAACTCCCAAGAATATTCCTGCTTCAGCCTCCCAAGAGCTGGGATTTCAAACATGTACCCCCATACCTGGTACTCACAAGAATATCTTAAAAGTACAAATTAGAATTGTGAAACTCTTTATTTGCCTGTGCTTTATAGCTTTGCATTAAAGATATTTCCTGCGCTTGAAATTTGTATCTCAGTAGTACCATACTTGCATAGTACGCACAAGGCCCTAGGTTCAATCACTAGCACCACAAAGAAAAAAAAAAGAGAAGCAACTTTTCTGATGAAATCAGTGATGATTATCTTGGTTTCTTTTCAGTTGTTGTTAGGGGAAAAAGTACCTGACACAAAAAATTAAGAAAAAGTTTATTCAACTCTTTGTTGGGGTTTCAGTCCATACTTGGCTGGCTCCAAGGCAGAGTGACACATGGCAGAGGGACAACAGTTCAGCGCTGGCAGAAAGTAGCAAAAGAAGCAAAAGCAAAAAGGGAGGAGCAGCTGAAAACAAGCCTCTTTCCCTCCCTTATTTTATTTGCAGGTGACCATCCCTGGGTAGGCATAGCACTCACACCCATAATCCTTTCATTGGACCATGAGTCAATGGAAAAAAGCCTATTCCGTAACTTCATGGAGGAATATCTAGACATAAACATAACAATGATATTAATGAATGTCATTTTTATATTCTAATAGTGTAAATGTCAATACTCATAATTCTGTATTTTTAGTGGTGAGTGTCATAAGTGTATCAAAGGATCCTGACAGTAAGCCATTTAAGTTGCTGATCTAAAGGCTGAGGAAGGGGAGAGCCTACTTATACCAGAGTCAGGTTTCATAGCCCAACCATTAACTTCATAAAAGCCTATACAGTTTATAACCGCAATTAAATGAAAAGGATATTTGGTTTTAATTAAAAAATTAGACTCCAGTTGAATAATGGTTTTATTTTATTTTCCAATACTGGGGATTGAACTAGGACCCTGCGCTTGCCAGGCAAGCACTTACTCTACTGAGCTGTCTTCCCTGGCCCCAACACACACACACACACACACACACACACCCACACCCCTGACTGGGCAGTGAACTCAGGACCTTGGGCTTGCCAGGCAAGTGCTTATGCCACTGTGCTGTCTCCCTGGCTTTTATTTTATTTTATTTATTTTTGTATTTTAGGGAAGAGTCTACAGGGTGTTCAGGGTCTCACTACTAGATCAGACTGGTAGTGATCCCCCTGTTTACAGCCTCCTCATAGCTGGGATTACAGGCATGTGCCACCAGGCCCAGTCTCAATTGCTATCTCAGCATGCCCTGGGGTGGGGCTCACATGGCAGGCCAAAGGATTGAACCTGGCCCTACTCCTGCTTGCAGGTGCTTTAATCCCCTGAGCGATTTGGCCTGCCCTCCCCCGAGCCTTTAAATTCTTCACAAATTCAGTCTTCTTATTTAGTTAAGGGATGAGTTAGACATCCCATAGAATATATTTAGGGTTACCATTGTATTTATTCATGGATAATTATATTAAAATATTTTTCTCTCCCTGTCCTCTCTTTTGCTTCTCTTTCCTCTTTCTCTTTCTGTTCTCTTTTTCTATTTGTCTTGTAGGTGGAATCTTTCATTTTGGACCAGGATGAATTGGAAAATCCAATGCTGGAGACAGCTTCCAAGTTGCTCTTGTCGGGTACTGCTGATGGTGCAGACCTCAGAACAGTAGATCCAGAGACACAGGCCAGACTGGAGGCTTTGCTGGAAGCAGCAGGTATGTCTAACCTCTATCTATGAAGATTCTGTCATATTACTCACTGCTGGTGTATAGCTCAGGTTAGATCCAGAGACACAGGCCAGACTGAAAACCTTGCTAAAAGTGGCAGATATATTTAAGCTCTGCAGAGTAAGAATCTGATCATAAACACAAGTTTCAGTATCACACAATTGGGTCTTGAAGGGCCAACCAGATAGCATCTTGGTACATGCTGGTAATTCCAGCACTCAGAAGGTTGAGGTTCTTGCTGTGTGTTCCCAGCCAGCGTGGGCTACAAAGTGAGGTCAAAGCTAGCTTTAACTGCATAGTAAAACCCTGTCTAAAAAAAAAAAAATTCTTTGTAACTCCCAAATCAGTACTCATACTTTGGGTTAAACAAACAGCAGCAAAAATTTTGAGCTGTCTTGTCTATGTGTTGCCATCTAAGGGCAGAGTAAGGTTTGCTCTTTTCTTCTTTCACTTCTCGTGTTACAAACACATGTCATTGAACAGTCTGTTCAGTGCCATGCTTTCCAGTTTTTAAAATTTTTATTCATGACTTTACTCTTAAAAATGGCTCCTGAGCATCACGCTGCAGTACTGTCCAGTGTACTATAGTAAGAGCACCATAACGTGCCTTAGAGAGGAAATGTGTGTTAAGCTTTCATCATAGTGCTATTGGCTCACAAATTCAATGTTAATGAATCAACTTATATTTAATAAGATACCTTAAAACAAATACATGAAGCAAGGTTTTAATGCAGCTACTTTGACCAGGGCCTTGCAGTGGCCTCAACCTCTGTTTCTCTTAGAAACAGTGGTTCGGTTTTTTCTAATTTAGAGTTTGCAGCAACTTCATAGAACACAACCATCATGAATAACAATAAATACCTGCGTGTGTGCATTATCCCCCAGTTTTTGGCATGGGCTCTGTCTTGAAACGTTATAGAGTACATCATCCATCTTCTTTTTGTAAAGTTTATTGGATTACCCCATAGCAACAGTATTTTAATTAGGAATTAGACATGCAGTGAGAGTTAGTGCCTTATATGTAATATGCTTAAATATCAGATGATGTTAACTCGAATCTCTACAGTTCTTTTTAAAAGCCATAGATTTATTTATTTTTGTCTTTTTGAGACAGGGTCTTGCTATGCAGTTCAGGCTGGCCTGGGACTCTAGCCCAGGCTGGCCTTGAATTTGCAGCAATCCTTCTGCCTCAGCCTCTGGAATGCTGAGACTACAGTCATGCATCACAACACCTAGTTATTCCTTTTAATAAACACCTTGTAACATAGCACAGAAGTATTTTAGAGATTCAAGGATGAGCTTGATTTCGGTTCTGAGTTACTTTCTGGAATATATCATTAAAAGGGTCTTGAAGGGCCAGCCAGATAGCAGAATAAAGCACCTGCGTAGGCAAGGGCATGGGCCAGGTTTGATCCCCATTTTGCTATGCTGGTCCCACCCCTGGTGCACACTGAGATAGTAAATGAGACTGGGTGTGGTGGGGTGTGCCTGTAATCCCAGTGCTTAGAAGGCTGCAAACAAGAGGATCACTAGGAGTCTGATCTGTATAGTAAGACCCTGTAGACCCTGTACTGAATACATAAAAAAGTAAAATAGAAAGGTCTTCCCCCCCAAAAAAAAAAAAAATCCATAGAGCAATGTAAGATCTTCCTCTTGTCTGTTGAAAACAATTTATATTTTTGAGTAGTTGAGCTATATACTTTAGCCTTGTGAGAAATTTTATATTGCTATAGAAGTTTGTAGGAGAAATAGAAATTATGAAATTACTTGAAAATATATCAGAAGAGGAACAGGCAATACTTACTGCTTCTGAAAAGGGAGAACTTAGGTTGAATATATTTCTCAAGTGCTTTAAAAAGACTATCGAGTATTTTACTGTAGAGTGATGAATGATCTCTACTCATACAGAGTAGCTATCTTTTTTCTTTTCCTCCACCTTCAAATAAATTATATACATAAATATTTTTGATGGGGGGGGGCTGGCTCAGGATGCCTTAAGGGCAGGTCTGCTAAGACCTGAGGATCTGAGGATCAAACCACAGAATCCTGAGCCTGACTGCTTTGCTTAAGCAGATACTTAAAACAACTGAACTAATGGGTAGGCCCCCTTCAAATAAATTCTTTTTTTTAAAAAAAGACATAAGCACAAGAAGAATGTATTTTATGTGACCAAAAGAAGCAGAATCAGGTTCAGAAATGCTATGTGAAAGTAGATTTTAGTTGAATGCTTTTGTAGATACAATGCCTTTCTTTGTATAGGAAGCTAACAGTTGCTTTGCATTTCTTACTTCTGTATTCCCCATTTTTCTTTGTAGATTAGCCAGTAAGCTAATCTCCCTTCTCATTTCTTCCTTACTTCAGGGCTTTCACTTCTGTCCCTCCTATATCTCCTCCCACTCTTTACTGAACATTTCACACAGAAATGTAAAGAGCATACTATATCAAACTCACTGTATGTCTGTTACCCAGTAGCCATTTTCAGTATCAGTAGATTCAGCAGACTTGCTTCATCTTTATCCATTACCACTCGTGTAAATTTCAGTGTGATTAGGTATCATGTCATTATGTATATAAGTACTTTTTGTATGTCCCCCAGAACTTGTAAGCCTTAAGTACCACTGCAGATCCAATGAAAAAAGTAAAATTCTCCAATATTGCCAAAACCTTCCAGTATTAAGGTGTTATTTCTTATTTCTTTTCAGTTAATTTGTTTGAATAACCATGCAAACAAAGCTCATGGTTTAAGACCTGTTATTCTTTCATGATAATAGTTCCTTTTTAAAGAAAAAAGTCATTTATCCTATGTCATGCATTTTGCCATTGTACCTCTCTTGTATATTTTTGTTTGTTTGTTTTCTACTAAAGCCTTCACACTACACTACATCTACATCTCCTTTTTATATACAATATTCATGTTTTGAGACAGGGTCTCACTAAGCTGCCCAGCCTTTGCTTAAATGTATGATCCCCGTTGGCTCAACCCCCAAAAGTGATGGGATTATAGGCATGTGCTGCCATGCCTGGCTGCATGTTGTATTTCTGTAAACCAGTGTTGATCCAGATAGTTGACTGATTCAAGTTTGGCAGCAGTCACTCACAGTATTTCATTATGTATAATGTACTATGTCATTTCTCTTTGTGGTGTTGATACTGGACATCGTTTAGGTACCCAGTATCTGTCTTTTGATAGGTCACACATTGATTGAGGCCTTGTCTGAAAATCTTTCTCACCATATTTGATATGATTATGTATAAAAATATAGTTTAAGAATCATTTTCCTTCAGACTTTTGAAGTTGCTCCTCCATTGTCTTCCAATTTCTGTTGTTAGGATTGAAATAAACTTAATGATTTTTCCTTATCTCGATGCCACTTGTCCCTATTTCTTCTTCCCCAGAACTTTAGTTTGGAGCTTATAGTATGTTAAAATTTTGATCTTTTTTATTAGTATATGCATATAATATATAATAAGTACATTAATTTTGAGGAATTATACTTTTCAATATTATCTTTAACACTTTTCTCTTTTAACCCATCAGATGATTAGTGATCTCTGGATTCTGTTGGTAGTCAGTAACAATGACATAGAAAGTTAACTTGGGAAATTTACATGTATCTTCTGTTGACTTTGCATTTCACTGTAAAGCATGAACATCACTGCAGAACAGTTTATTTTAAACATAGTCTTGTGAAATGATACTCATTATATCTTAATCTATATGTATCAGAGATCAGGGCATGGTACAGATAGTTGTGGATTTTTGCTCAAGATTTCACTGGGCTAAAATTGCCTGTGTGTTCATCTTTTGGCTGTGGGGAAATGGACCTCTAAGGCAAATGCTGTAGCCAAATTCACTTAGAAGTTGTAGGACTTAGATTCCAGTTCTTTGTAGTTGCCCGCATTACTTGATACACAGCCCCTTCATCTTTAAGCCAGTAGTGTACATAAAGTCCTTGTTCTCTGAATCTCTGACTTTCTTACCTAAACCCAAAATCTCTGCTTTTTGTGAGATCGTGTTTTGGGCCAATACAAATAATCTGTCTTTAGGTTATGCATGCCTTAAATCATGGAAATAAAATCTATAAAATTCATAGTCCAAAGAGTTGCATAGGACATTTAATGCTGGCAGCATTTTGGATTTCTAGCAGTGATTAGACAAGAGACCCTTTCATTTTTTTGAGAACATCCAGTATGTCAGTATATCTTTAGATATTTTCTCTATTACTGTTCATTTTCTTGAGAGAGACACAGCTACCATTTTTTGTCTCATGAATAATATACCTGGTTGCCAGACTTCTGTAGCTGAGATTGAGAAGAGTTGAGGATTTTATTGCTCGTTATATAGAGAAATACATATATATAT